CAATTTGGAGGACACAGAAGCCTGTAATATTTTGAAAAGTGTGTTCCAGGCCTATCTGAAAAGAAGGCTATATTTTCTGTCCAGGCCTATGAACTTCTGAATCTACTATTAACTCTGATAGACATTTCTAGCAGAGCCTGATCATACAACAGTCTGTAAACTGCTAACTAAGCAGAATTAAACTTGTTGGAAAGAATCTATTCAGCCTCCAACAATTTCTTCCCAGAGGTGTTAATAAGTCTCAGTATAAATGTATACAAATCTCCTCTCTTCTGTCTGCCCTTGCCCATTCTTTAGGCAATGTGTTGAAAGGCAGCCAAGGAGAGGAAGTAGAGCACCCTCACATCACCCACAGTGTGGATAATCAATCCCTAAGAAACGGATACGAGGATTCATAATTTTTTATTTTACATAATATTCATAATATTTTATTTTATAGCTGCGCCTGTACCTTGTAGGTACAAGACAGCAGCTCTTTCTCCCCAGAACAGTCTAAGGACAGAGGCCACCCTCAGAATGCCACCCTAACACAAACTGGTTCTCATACACACCCCACTAGTCATGATTTGTTTTCTTAAACAGCAAAAGTTTATTTTATTTCACTGCTCCATCAAAATTATTTATCTCATTTATCATACAGTTCCTGTCTAGTGCATTTTGCCAGAACTAACATGCATGAAAATTATGTTAATGGACCTTGGACTGGTTCTAATGTACTTCATATGATCAAGAAACTAAACTAACAGAAAGTGTTCTGAAAGGTGCTCATTCTACCAGGAAGGATCTCTTGCTCTCCTAAGACACGTTTTTGAGGGAAGGAACTGCCAAGAATCAAACCACCAGCAGTGTCCTTAGAAAAAGACCCGCTTATTCAAAGAAGAAAATCTACTGAGGACTTATCGTCGTATCCCACTCCATCAAGTACCCGAGGTTTCCATTAACCAGCAGTGGTTTCATGGAGAGAGACTGGGAAGTGATTTGGAAAAGATTTTTAACACGAAAACTAACCGACAGAAAAACGAAGTTTTGATTTTTGAGGAGCCGCCAGTTTGGTGAGACTGGTCCACTGCATGAGGAAGTCACTGTGGGAACACACAGGATGTCACTATCATGCCGGCTGGTGGGCCACTCCAGAGCACACTGATGTAGGGAAAAGCCGGATTATAAAGAGGTCTTTCTGCTGCTTCTGAGAAGTGAATACCCTAGGATTTAGTAGAAGAGGAACTCACATTATCATAAATCTTCCTCTGTAAATAGGTCTTATGGAAAAACTCTATTAAACTTGTTCAAGAACTGAAATTTTGAAGTGCAAACTTTAAATAGCTTTGTGATACTGCTTGGAATAGTGATACTCACATGCTGATTTTTTATAAGGAACTACAAAAAAATTATTGAGAGCCAGGAATTGGGCTAGTCTCTGCAATACAACCACCCTCACAGGAACAACACCACAAAAAGCCTTACTGGCAATATCAAAAGAATGCTAAAATCAAGTAAAATCTATTATCTGAAATGAAAATAAAGACATTGATTTTTTTAAGCTAATTTAATGATAGTAGCAGATAAATCAATTGATGAATCAAACCCGTGGAACTGGACTTAGTAGTTAAGAGGGTCAAAGTATGTGATCTCTAAAGGATTTCAATGGGCAAAATATATAACTTTTATTTTTATCTCAGATTTCATCCAGGACATTGACATCATCTCTGTACCAGTGACAGGAGGACCTTTGTGGATTTTACAGGAGAAACGGAGCTGGCTTCCAAGTTTTTGTTTTTGTTTTGTTTCATTTTTCCCTTATCTCTCTTCCATTGAGAACAAGTATTTTGATTGTTTAACAATAGGAGAGCAAAAAACACAGCTAGACGTCACCAAGCTCAGAAGAGCAGGTCCTAACCATGCTGGGCCATGGGACAGGTTGCTGGAGGAGGCTGGAGATTGCTGGCTGGCAAAGAATCTACAAATGAAGTAGGGAACAAAATACATGATATAATTTCAGAAAATCAACAACAGCTACAGCTCCACAATTGGAACATGTGTTTTTCTTGAAACTAATCAAGTCTTGGTGTATGGAAATAAAAATCTATACTCCTGAAGAGAGGTGGCATATTAAGCTTATCACTTATTTTGCACTTCAACGCAAATTCACTCCTTACTGTTTCTTGTCATAAGGACCAGCATGGTGGGAAGGGGTTGTGGGGTGGAGTAGGGATAAAGGCAGCAGTGGTGGGGCAGACAGAAGGGGACAAAAAGTGAGAGGACCCCTGTGGTGGAAAGAGAAAATAAACTCTGAAGGAGTGAAATAATAGAAATAGAATTAAAAATAGAAATGGAAGTCAAGTCTTAATCATGTATTTCCACACTTCACTTACAATCAGTCCTGCGGATAGAACAAGACAGTAATTCCTCTCTAAACTATTCAATTTTGTGACAAATGTTAGGTCTATGAGTATGCCACATGTAAAAAAAGACATTGACCAACTTTCATATGTCCAGCACAGTATGACTAGAAAGATGAGAATTATGTAGAATCTTTTAGGAGGCTAAGTATGTTTAGCTAGGGATGTCTTAGCAGAGACATCGGAGTCTCTGCTAAACTCTGATAATTAACTCGGAGTTTATAAAGGGCATAAGACAAGTACATGTACACTTATGACAAGCCTGGCCAACGTAAGGAGAACTTGTCTCTACAACAAAAGTAAAAAGTTTGAGCTGGGCCTGTAGTCCCAGGTACTCAGGAGGCTGAGGCAGGAGAATCTCTTGAGCCCAGGAAGTTGAAGCTGCAGTGAGCCATGATCTCACCACTGCACTCTAGCCTGCGTGACAAAGCAATACCCTGTCTCAAAAAAAAAAAAGTACAGTCACAACACAAGTGTTGCCACTGATAGCAGATTTAGGATCAATGAGCTCACACCAATTTGGAATCAATATAGAACTTTGTAATATTCAGAATCACCAAAAAGGAAATGAACTGCTTCACAGAATGGAGGGGACACCTATCACTAGATGAATTCAAGAGTTGGCTGCTGAGTACTCATTAGATTTATTATAGAAATGAATTATATTTGTCAGAGCTTTCAATTGCAAGTGACAAAATACCAATTCAAATGGCTTGAGCAAAAAAAAAAAATGGATTTGGTTCAATATAATTCCAGATTCAGGCATAAATGGGTCCAAAAACTCAAATGATATTATCAGGAATCTCTATCCATTGCTCAGTTCTGACTGCTTTTGTGTTGGCTTCATACATAGCAATGTTACCCCTAAAATAGCAACCTACCGCTCCAGTCTTACACTCCAGCAGCAATGCCTTTTTCTTGATAGGACCAGCGATTGGTAGAATCACTCCAGCTCAGGTCAAGTGCCTCACCTAACCCTATTGCTGTGGCCATGAGAAAGCCATGGTCCCATCAGCCAGAAGGCATTTGCTTACTCCTGCACACATCTTGGTGGCCATAGGCATAGAGCATTCTCTCTGGCCAGGTCTGAGTCATTTGTATACACCAGAGCAGAAGACAGGGGTGAGAACCAAAAATCCCTCCTTCCTAGATCATGTGGACTGAGAGCTGGCAAGAGAAAACTCAAGATGTTATTATCAGAAGAGGGAAAGATTCACCACAAACAAAACTAAAGGCCATCCTGTAACAAGAGTTCTTCGTAAAATTGGAGGCTGGCCCACAAAACTTTTACAGCCTCTTCCAGTTAAGTTTATATTTATTTCTTTTTTTTTGAGATGGAGTTTCGCTCTTGTTACCCAGGCTGGAGTGCAATGGCGTGATCTTGGCTCACTGCAACCTCCGCCTCCTGGGTTCAGGCAATTCTCCTGCCTCAGACTCCTGAGTAGATGGGATTACAGGCATGCGCCACCATGCCCAGCTAATTTTTTGTGTTTTTAGTAGAGACGGGGTTTCACCATGTTGACAAGGATGGTCTCGATCTCTTGACCTCGTGATCCACCCGCTGCGGCCTCCCAAAGTTCTGGGATTACAGGCTTGAGCCACTGCGCCCGGCCAAGTTTATATTTATTTCTAAGTCACACATGCTATGTCCAAAACTAGGTACTCATTCTATAATTTAAAGCGGCATTTTTGACATTGTAGGTACTTAATCCCTTTAGATAGTCTGTAAAATCAACATAGAAAGTTTTATTTAAGTAGTAGCTTGTTACCTTCCTTTGTAGGATGAGTATAGACAGAAACAAGCAATGTGCTAATATGATCTGATAGCTATCTGAAAAATGAACCCCTGATTTATAGCATTTGCCAATTTCCACGGTGTTAATACTCCCATAATTGCCAATTTCAAGCTATCAATATTAGGTCACTAAACACAGGGTTGGGAAGAGATGCAATGCTCATGTATCTTCATCTCCCTGAGCTGGTGCCATCCGGCTCTAACACATCACTTGACAAGAGCTATTAAATGTTACAAGTCTGTGAAAAATGATCTCAGATGATGGTGCCCAGTTTTATCCCATTTCATCTGAGGACATAGTAAAAGACTGTGGATCGCAGTGGCTCACCCCTGTATTTTCAGCACTTTGGAAGGCTGAAGCCGGCAGATCACCTGAGGTCAGGAGTTCAAAACCAGCCCGGCCAACATGATAAAACCCCATGTCTACAAAAATAAAAAAATTACCCGGGCCAGGTGGTGGGCACCTATAATCCCAGGTACATGGGAGGTGGAGGCAGAAGAATCACTTGAACCCGGGAGGCAGAGGTTGCAGTAAGTAGACAGTGCTCCATTACACTCCAGCCTGGGTGATAGAGCGAGACTCCATCTCTCTCTCTCTCTCTCTCTCTCTCTCTCTCTCTCTCTCTATATATATATATATATATATATATATATATACACACACACACACACACACACACATATATATACACATATATATATACACGCATATATACACACATACACACACATATATATATACATACACACATATATATAATATAGATAGAATATAACTAAATATATTTCTTAGTTTGTTCATAAGTGTATCAATTTCCCTACAGCAGATGCTATTAACTACATCAGCGGGTTTTTTTTCAGCACAATATGGAATTCTTAGTGAGGTCATCATAAAATAGTTCTCATTCTCAAAGTTTGATTGGAATGATCTTGAAAGGAAACAGAAGCACTGTTAATTATTGATAGCTAATGATGACACCCCCAGCCCTGTTTGAAAAGCTTCATATAAGACCCCTCTCCACCTAGCAAAAACTGGTATAAATTTTGGCAAAAAACACCAAACTTAATTGGGAATGTAACATATTAAGTTTATGATAGCTTATCAATGACTTATTTTGTAATTAATACAAAAAAATCACAAAAACAAATATAACTACTTATCAATATCACATGGCAGGCAATCAGCCAGGGCAGAAAATATGGGGAAGTGACACAGAAACTCAACAGGAAAGTCATTCCTTATAGTGTGAGAATGCATTAAAGGTTTCTTTAGCCAAGCTTCTTCTTACGTTTCACTCTCAAATGCCTCAGATCCAACTTCAAGCAGCTTGTATCCCAGAGCGACAATGGCTTATTTAAAAGGAACTGCTTATAATTCAACCTTCTACAAATATTGTAAAATAGAATATAGCTAAATATATTTCTTAGTTTGTTCATAATATCCTGTATAAATTTTGAAAATTAGTTTTTGTCCTAACCATCAGCAGCCTCAACTATTTAACTATTTTTGAATGGTGATAAAGATAATTTCAATTCAACACTTGGAAATAGTGACAGTTAACACTTACACAAGCTTATTTGTCTCAGGCACTGTTTTACTTAACATCAGTCCTTTGATGCATTCATTCAATAAACAATATTACACCAGACTGTGGTCTATAGGCCCAATAAATGGGTCCCAAGAGGTCATTCAAACATGTAAGTGCTGAATCAGGGGTCAGCAGCTGAAACCCAAGCCCAGAGGTTGCACAGAATGACAAGAATGAGGGAGGCCTGAGAATAGCCAGGAATGCCAGAAACAGGATCTTTCTTTGCTCTTTGAAGTCTCTCAGAGTGTTTGTTCCACTTATTCCATAGATAGAATAAATATAGAACACCTTTTTAAAAATTAGAAATCTGGGGCCGGGCGTGGTGGCTCACGCCTGTAATCCCAGCACTTTGGGAGGCCAAGGTGGGTGGATTATGAGGTCCAGAAATCGAGACCATCCTGGTCAACATGGTGAAACCCCGTCTCTACTAAAAATGCAAAAAATTAGCTGGGCATGGTGGCGCGCGCCTGTAATCCCAGCTACTCAGGAGTCTGAGGCAGGAGAATTGCCTGAACCCAGGAGGCGGAGGTTGCAGTGAGCCGAGATCGTGCCATTGCACTCCAGCCTGGGTAACAAGAGCGAAAACTCCGTCTCAAAAAAAAAAAAAAAAAAATTAGAAATCTGAATTTACAATGAGATAATTTTTACAAATTCTGTAGAGAAAGTATTTTTAAGGAAACCAGAAACCACAAAAAAGATTAATCTACTGAATTTGTCCCAAAATTTAAAACTACTATAGGAAAAATATGCCACAAATAAAGTCAAGGGAGAAACAACAAGCTTGAATACAACTTTTGCAATACATGTTGTTTCACACAAAAAGATCTCTTATAAATCAGTGGAGGGAGAGAAACAGAAAGAGAGGGAAGGAAGAAAAAAGGTAGCCTTAAGAAAGAAAGGCAAAAAAAGCAACAAACAAACACAAAAAGCATCTCATAATTTTATATACAGTATTCAAAAGTTAAAAATAAAAACATCCCTCATAATTTTAAAAAGTCAAATTAGCACCACCATGAATTATCCCTTTTTAACCTACACATTCAAAATTATAGCAAGCATGTCAGCAAGTGTGTGGTGAGAGATAAATTATACAACTTCTCTCGAGGACAAATTTGGCAAAACATCAATTTAAAATACATATATTCTTTGACTTTGAAATTTGATCAGAATTCAGAAAATAAATGACATCAGGATTTTGACTCGTGAACAAGCAAGCTACCTAAAAATGAATAGTACTGTCCCTAGGCGACTGATGATGTGACTTGTAATATGGGAGAATCTGAGTTTTCTTGGACTGTCCTAATGGATACAGGTCAACTTAGCGGAATATTTATGAACAGAGCTAATAACAAATTCTGGGCCCAATTTGATCTGTGACTTGCTTGAATTGATTTTGCCTTTGCCCTCCTCCAGACTTATCAACCCAGAGAAACCAAGGCTGTTCAATACCCAGCATATTCCAACCCACATTAGTAAACCATGTGCTGCATTGTGCTGGGGACCTGGGAGGAGAGAGAGAAGGAGAAAGGCCAAGTAACAGGGAAACCAAAGGCTGTGTGAATGCATGACGGAAACAGCTTCACAGAAGAATACTACACGAAACGGACCCTGAATGACAGGAAGAAATTGGAGAGCTGCAGAGGATTAGAAGAGCATTGCAAGGGTACGGAAGACCAAGGCTGAGTCAGAAATGGGCAGGAAAATTCAAGACTTAAAGACAAATCTAGAAGATACTGGAAAAAGAGCCATAAGATTCTTGGCACTGATCCATAGCCATCAACAGACAAAGGAAAACAGTCTCTGTATCACAAGATGCCCTATAATGGTGTCTCAAACTTTACACATTCATGAATTTCCTTCAAAAGTCTTGCCATATTGACTTATAGGCATATGTACTGTAATTTTTTTAAGTCTACTTCTTGTTTCTTTAGCCCTATTTTAGAAAATAATATCCATGAATTAGTAGGTTTGGTATGCTAGAAATAGTCTTCTAATACATATTATATAAATATATAGCCAATAAGATGGCTTTAAAAGTTCATGGTATACCACCATATCCCATTGTGAGGAATGTTGCTCCTTAGAGATAGTCACTTCAAACTGAGCACCATGAAAGCTATATTTGTTCATGTTTATGCCACATACGACAACTTAGACCAAAAATGGAGTGTGAAATTGGGGATACCCGATGGCATCGTAGAAGTGTGCTGAGGCATAAATTAACTTACTCAGTAGAATGAGAAACTTACATATTTTGAACAACAATTATGTGCAGCCTCTGTACTACTTACATAAAACAGCTTATGAATGGAGATGGAGTTTATGCAAAATCAAATAATGTAACCAAGTAAGTAAGCTCCTAATGCAAACACCTTCATATTCTAAAACCTTGACAACCTGATATTAAATATCATTTCAAAGTCATTTGGCTCAGTTTTGACTCCCAACCTTTGAGGAAGGTTGTTGGATCCCACTTAAAAGGATGACTATCCTTTAACGGGGAAGACCACAATACCACAAGAAACAAGAAAAAAGATACAACCATCAATTATCCTACAACATTTACTAAAGACGGGAGAGGTTTCATAATAGTGTGGCAGCTGGTTGGAGTCATGGTGTGGTTTCTCTTTATCTGTTTATTTGCTCAAGGTACATGCATTCATGTCTCCCACCAGCATAGTTTCCTGGGTGACTAAGGAAGATGTTTTAACTAGAATTCTAATTGTGTTAATATACACCTCTCTTCAAGGAAAACTAAATGACTCATCTTCCATGGGTCACAGTAAGAAATAAAGAAATTGTTGTCTTCTCTCCTAGTTAAATGGCCTATGGCTTTGGGAATTTGAGCAGTCCTGTTTCTGTTCCCCTGTTTACCCCTAAACCATACAAAACCCCTCTTCTTCAAGTAGCCATATGTGTTTGCTGAAGCGGAACAGGACAGAAGGTACCAGTTGAAGCATGTTCTGGGACACTTGGAGAGAACAACCAAAATGATTAAATGTTTGGGAAATAATTTTCAAAACAAAAGAAGTAAAGGAATTTAGGTATATTGTGTCTTAAGAAGGCTGAAGGCAGACATGTGACTATATTCCCAAGGGATGGGGGTGGTTATTGACAGGCAGAGGACAAGGATATGTAGGCATATACATGCAAGTGAAGCAACATCGACCTTAACACATGTGTAATGTGAGCTGTAATTCCCTGTAGGTGAGAGGCAGGACAGAAAACAATTTAGGTAACACGAACTTTGGAGCTACATTGCAGCACTCCTGATTGCATGACTATGAGCTCTCTAAGCCTCAGTTTCCTTGCCTGTAAAATAACAACAGTAATAGTGCCTACCTTAATAAGTTTTTTTGTGAAAATTAAATTTGTTACTGTATATAAAATGCCTGAACCGGTACCTGGTGCATAGTAAGTGCTATGTGTTTGTTACTGTTGTGGTTTTGTTAGGATTACATTAATTCTAAGCATTTGCTGTATTTCCATTAAGAATAAGAAGTTTGGGAATTAAAGTGCATGAAATTGAGGTGAGATGTTGAATAGAATGAAATTTGTTACTAAGGGAGGCTGGGAGTTTTAACCTTCAGGATTGTTTTGACTTATTTTTATATGTTTTTCTTGTTTAAGCTAGGCTGGTATGGACATAGTTCTTCCTAGAAGGTAAGGTGGATACAAGATGACCCACTGAGTTGTTCACAGCCAGCTTATTTGGTATTAATAATGTGACCACACCAGTCTTAGATAGAAAAATTTTTCCTAAATGCAACTCATAAGAAACATCTCTTGTCAAGGTCAATGTTGTTTCACTTGCATGCATATGGTCAACAGATCCTTGCCATCTACCAGGCAATAAACAGGTGTGATGACGTCTCTTCCTACAGTAGGAGCAGGGGTAGGGGAGTGTCCCTGGATCCAAACTTTACAAAAGGCTCTGTATGTCTCTGCAGTCCACGTCAGTTAATAAAATTAGATCCTTAACATCTCCCTTTTCTTGCAGGCACTTAATGAGTTACATATTCATTGTTTTAAGAAGCACACTTGAGTAACAATACAGCTTGTGGGCAGAAAAAAGGAACAGTCAGGCTGGTTCTGATGCCATTAAAAAACTTGGTGATAAGAAGTAACCTCAAACCCTGGTGAAGTTTTCTGAGGGAAGTGGGAGTCTGCCTGCTGAAAAACTATAGGATTCGATCTGAGGGGAGCCACTTAGTAGAAGACAGATGTGGCTCAGTGGGTGTTTAAATCCTGTAGAGCCTCAACATTTGCAGATTCAGCTACTCACAGTAGACCATTGGAGAGAAACTTCAACAGTCTATCTTATGTAATCATGTGCAATTCTACTGCAAGACTGGAGTTCATGAGAGACCACATAGCTAGTGATGGAATACAGTGGACTATCCGAGGGCAGCTCAACATATTGTCAAAATTGAGACAACTTATTTATTGTACATATTGGGACAACTTTTGACAGTAAAAGGGGGGTTATTAATAATTACAAGAGTACAACAAGCATAATCTGAGTCTGTTTTGGGCAAACAGAAACATACTATAAGCCTATCTGTCTTAGTCCATTTTGTTTTGCTGTAACAGAATACCACAGACTGGGTAGTTTATAAACAATAGAAGTCTATTCAGCTTACAGTTCTGCAGTCTGAGAAGTCCAAGATGGAGGAGCCACATCGGTGAGAGCCTTCTTGCTGTGTCATAACATGTGGAAGGCATCACAGGATGAGAGTGTGCAAGAAAGAGAGAGAAGGGGGCAGAACCTATCCTTTATAAGGATGCCACTCCCAAGATAGTGGCATTAATCCACTCATGAGGGCAGAGCCTTATTATCTACCCATCTCTTAAATGTCCCACCTGTCAAATGCTGTTGCACTGGGAATTAAGTTTCCAAAACGTGAACTTCAGGGGAACATGCAAACCATCACGCTACCCAGTGTCCAACTCCAGGATCCTCTATTAGTGTAAGCCATTTCTCTGATTACTTTTTAAAAAATAATTTCTTTATTTAAAATAGCAATAAAATGAGACAGAAATTTTTAATTGTTCGATTAACTTGTGTGAAGCTTTACAGACAAAATGGATAATGGTGGGAAAGCCAGGGAGCTATATAAACATTTCCATTTTGGAGACTCATCAACATCTTGCCCTAGAACCATTGTGAGACTCCAAAGACTTTACTAAATTGTCACACAGATAATAAATCTGAAGATTGTATGTCCTAGTCCTATTTCTATCAAGTTCAGCCAGGGCACTTAAATAACAAGACCACCTGAGGTCAACTCCAAACACCAGCACCAGGGTTTGTTATTATTCTGATAACTAAAATAAATGGTCAAGTGGGTCATTGGTGATATTGATTTCTTGTAAGGCATTAATGGGTAGCTGAAACTAATTATTTGACTTGGAAAATTTTGAAATCAGGAACATCAAATTTTGGTATTAGCAGCCCTACTAAGGCTCCAGGTAAAAGGAAATAATTAACATGTGTCATATACTCAGAATTGCCAGGCTCCAGGCTAGATTACTTATATGAATGCTTTAATTTAATCTTTCCACTCTGTGAAGGAGATATCATCCTCATTTATCAGCTTGAGAAATCGGACAGTTGGTATAACTTGCTCAAGGAAAGTCATTTGTATTTTTCCTAAATGTTTTTACACAATCATGGCAAGAGGCAAGCTTAAAGTTGACAGCAGAAAAGCAACTTTTATCTTCTGTTTACCTGGGAAGATGAAGAGATATTAGTTCCTTGCTGCTCCTAAGAAACCACTACTATTCAGTCTATCATGCACAGACAAACTTCTAGAAACTAACCGGGCTAAACAGAGCTTTCCTACAAACTAGTCTGTCTATCTGTTGGTCGTGACTTTGTTACTCTGCGCAATTCCCAGGAGATGTCGAGGAATTTTGGAGCCTAAGTGACATAAACAGGACAGTGGTTTGCAAATATTTTACTATCAACAATCAGAAAACCCTGTTCTGGGTAATCTTTTTCCTAATCTTCAATTAAACATCTGTATTGAGTCATTAAAATGCAGAGGAAGAAATTGGCATTACAGGGTGTAATGGGAACAGACAGTAACTTCAAACTGAAGCCAAGAAGTGGCTGAGAAGCATTTTCTTACAAATGCAATGATAAAGAGAGCACCAGTGTGTTCAAAAACTAGCCACCATCTGCAATATGTGACCTCCAGTTGAACTCACTTCAGGTTAGAAGGTGAACAGACTGAGATCTATGCTACAGTAATTACCTGTAATTATCATTTTGGAATGTTTTTTACATAAAAGGAAATCGGTTATAGTTATGCTGTAATCATCTACTTATGTATAGTTTTTGTCAGTTCTGCCTATGACAGAAGATGGGAGGGTACAGGGAAGAACACTCTCCAGTCAAAGCTCTATATGAAAATGTGCCTCATGTTACAAGTTGAGCAAATAAAATGACCCAGGATTTTTAAAGCATCTATGAAACATTGAAAGTCTGGCACTGGCAGATTTCAAAAGTTAAATAAAAATTTGAATAACCTAGCAACGATCACCTGGTTCTGTATATCCAGCTGGGAAATGTGTTCAAAGATGAAGAATCATTTTTGGCTGACTTTCTCCAGGACACCCCTTCGCTCTGGAAAACTCCCTTGGTAGAAACAGCCTTCCCACTCCATGCATGCCCCGTAGCAAACTCCTGCTCCTAGTTCAAGATGCATCTGAAATGTCGCCTCTGCTGCGAAGCCTCTCCTGAACTTCAAGGCAAAGGTGTGTAATCTTTTGGCAGGCTCTTTTAGCTTCTTCTACAGAAACACCTTTCCCATGGCTCAGTGCACACGGTGTGAGTGCTTGAGAGTGGTCTGCCTCCAGCATGTCAGCCCACTGACCTCCAGGGCTGATTCTAGCAACCTTAAGGATTCAACGCAGGAATTCTTCTTCATTCAATATCCAAGAAAAGGATGTGCTCAGCTGGTGGAAGGCTTTTGTTCAGTACAGGGCAAGGAAGTAGGTCACATATGTGTGTTTCTGTTGTTCATATGTGTGTTGTCTGCTAGATGTGAGTTTCTAGAGCCCAAGTAATTAGGTCTGATGTTTTATAATCTGTATGTATGTAATATAGAGTATAAATGTCTTATACATAAGTGTATCCTCATACAATAAACCACAAAGTAAATAATGTAACCCTTCTCCTTTTCTAGAAATGCCACTTTCCCAATTTTTACTTGCTAGGATTTATCTCAATTTGAAAACTTTTTTTTCACCGTTACTGAGGTAGCCTCAAATTAGCAAAGGAATTCAAACTTCTATCTCCAGCCCTGAGCTCCAGATACGTATATGCAACTTCCAACCAGACTCTCTACTTGTAAATCTAATAGGCATTTCAAGTTTATCAACTTAATAGAACTATGGCGTTTATCTTCACCCCATCCCTGAAAGTGATCTTCCCCAACTCTTCTTATCTCAGCAACTTCAATCTCAAATCTCACCACAGCTATCACTTTGATCCCAGCCATCACCATCTACCTGAATGATTTCCATCTAGTCTCCCCATTGCCATTCTTGTTCCCCTATACACAGGAATAGCTTTAGTGTTCTTCTTAAATTATTATTGTCATGTCATTCTTGAGTTCAAAAGTCTCCAATGTATTTTTAAGATACAATCATGCATTGCTTAACACAGGTACACTCTGAAAAAATTGTCCTTGGATGATTTCGTTGTTGTGCAAACATCATAGAGAGTACTTTACACAAACCTAGACGGTAGAGCCTACTACTTACCTAGGCTATCTGGTATAGCTTATTGCTCCTCGGCTACAAACCGTACAGCATGTTACTATACCAAATACTGTAGGCAACTGTAACACAATGGCAAGTAATTGTATATCTAAACATACAAAAGATGTAATAAAAATATGGTATAAACATGAAAAATCGTCCACCTGTCTAGGGCACATATCATGAATGGAGCTTGCAGGACTAGAAGCTGCTCTGGGTGAGTCAGTGAGGGAGTGGTGAGTGAATGTGAAGGCCTAGGACATTGCTATACACTACTATAGATTTTATGAACACTGTACACTTAGGCTACACTTAATTCACACAAAAATTTTCCTTCTTCAATAATAAATTAACCTTAGCTTACAACTTTTTTACTTTATAAACTTTTTAATATTTTTAAGCTTTTTGACTCTTGTTACACGTAGTTTAAAACAGATTGTACAGCTGTACACAATGTTGTCTTTATATCCTTATCCTATAAGTTTTTTTCTATTTTTAAAAAGTTTTGTTTTTTACTTTTTAAACATTTTTGTTAAAAACTGAGACACACACATATACATTCGCCTAGGGTCAGAATCATCAAGACATCACTAGGTAACCAGAATTTTTCAGCTCCATTATAATCTTATGGGACAAGTGTTGTACATGAAGTCTATCATTGATGGAAACGTTGTTATGCAGCCCATGACTATACTGAAGACAACATCCAAACCCTTTAAGGGTCTCCAATGTTGAATATGGTCTGTGTGCTGACAACCTCTCTGAGTTCATCTCCTACCTCTCTCCACCGTATACATTGGACCCACATGCCTTCTTTTCCAGGAACCTGCCAGGATTTTCTCCTCTTAGGACATTGCTTTTGGACTTCCCTTTCCCTGGAATGCACTGCCGGGTCTTCTCCTGGCTGGCTCCATCTGGTCATTCTAGTTTCAACCTGAGCATTGACAATTAGAGAAACCCTCCTCAACCAACCCTCTACAACAGATCTCCACGTACTCTCCAGAGCACCCCACTATTTTGTTTGCTTTGAAAGTTATTTTGTTCATTGTCTTACCAACCGCACTAGATGTACACACCATGACAGCAGGGACCTTGCCTGTCTCATTCACTACCGAATCACCAGCTCTTAGAACAGGAGAAGTGTTTGCTTATGGGAAGTAGAGGGAGGAATCCTGACAACAAAACAAAAACACTGTCATAAGAAACTGAATTTTAGTGCAAATGCCAGGAGGTGGCTGTCCTATAGACACATGATGCCTTCTTTGTCGTGAGCTGCAGGAGTAAGTGAGAACCACACACAAAGAATCATCTATTGACAAATGTGCAACAGTTTGCTTGGTGACCTCCCTAACATGGAAGTTTGTCAGTGTGCTGGCAGAACAGATGTTATCCAAATTGCCTGTATGGCCAACACAGTTATATTAGACATGTGTCCTGCTCAAAAGTTAATGGGCAGGACCCTCGCCTCATGGAACAGGTTCTCATGACTGAAAACACAGTAGCAGATCCAAAACATACTGAACCAAACAAATAGCCCAGCCCTTCAGTACAATGGAAAGAGGGTGAAGAATCGGTCAACGTTATAAGTTACAAATCTCAATCCTACGGGTCTCAAATCCAGATCAGGGTGACTAATTAGCTCCAAATTCTAGTACCCTCGTTGTGTGATGGACAAGTTAGTGAACTTTTGTGATCCGTTATTTCCTCCGGTATTTAATGTCCCTGTTTTAAGCCCTTTTGTGATCAACAAGTAACAGTATGGCCATCACCTATCACCTAAGCAGAAATGCTATATGTCTTAAAAAATATCTTTCTGTGCTGTTTCTTACACAACGCAGCTTACCTTCTAGTGACAGTGCAGCGATGGGAAGAGAAGGACCTCCAGGTTCTGGGGAGAGGTTACTGGAGAAAGAACACAGGGGCATACCCCATATCTTCCACGGCTGTGAGCGAAATAAAGGACATGTAACAGAACTGGGTTTTGAATGAGGCAGTTAGGAATTCAAACTCTGGAATTTAAAATGCCAGATTTTTGCCATTTCTTGGTTGTGTGATATCAGGTGACTAACAATCTCTTTAATTTTAATTTCTGAAAATGAAAAAATAATACAGCACCTAAATTGCAGGCTACTGAAAGGATTAAATTAGGTAATACATGTGAAGGGTTTAGCATAGTTCCCATCAACAAACAGTAGCTTTTATTTTGGCAGTATGCAGAATTTGAGTTTTCAGATGCTATTTACTGATGAATAGTGGTTAAATGCATCCTCAGTTACACTTACTGTTTGATGACTTTGTTGGAAGGGTTTGGGCAAGAAAGGTGGCAGCCCCTTCCTGCCATGTATTTCCAATGTTCCTGCAAGGGCTACAGGATACAGAGAATGTGCCGACAGAGGTTTTAGTCCACAGAACCTGATTACCTGGGAGTCTAATGCACAGGTGTCCTGGCGTGGGTAAGGCATGAAAAAAATGATAGAAATGATCACTTTATAGGATAATTATGAGAAGTAAGTGAGATAAATTATGTAAAAGTACCTGGAGTCTAAGAAGTAATTTTTTTTCCTGTTTTCTTTGCACGGTTTGGAAAATGCTTAGTCTTTACATATTAATTAAAAATAATTTTGTTTTTACCTGAAATCTAAAAAGAGATTGTTTCTTTCCATGATAAATTCCTGAAATGCTATGTGTTTATTGAACATTTTTTTCTAATAATCTCCCTTTCCCTTTTTTTTTCCCTTCTCACCCTTTGATCCTTTCCCTTGCAGTCCCTCCATTTTTCACATTCCATTAATTTACATGTTATTGCAGAATTCAGTACAAGAGCTTTATTGTGGCACCAATCATAGAAAGACTTTTTTAAATGGTCAGTTTCTGTAGAAAAGAGAAGAATCCTAGCAGGATACATCCTGCCACACTCTGATAGATATTCTTTCTCTGAATTAAAAAAAAAAAAATGGCTTTTTTGGTATTCTATGCAAATGATCTTTGACTGTAAGTTGGAAACACATTCAGCTGCCTCCTGAAGCAAAGATGTCTTTTCAATGTCAGAATTCTTAAAAGTCCTTGAATAAAAATTCACTTCCCTCTAGAGTTGTATTTGATGTATTTTTAATATTGCTATTTTTCTTTCATTGTTGCATAGAGATGTATTCTAATTTTGTTTGTTTGTAGTTTATAATAAAAGGGAACCAAGGGAAAAATTACTAAGAGTCTATTGAAAGAGTTAAATCATTTCCCTACAGCTTCCCTAAGCGGAACTGATAGTCTTAGTCTGACTTAGGGAGCTGGAATAGAAAGGCTGCCAACATCTGTTTTGGTCAGAGTCAGATAAAAGAGACTAATTCATAGTGGGAATAACCCATGTATGGCATTCTGTATTCCATTACCCTTTTCACAAAAAAACACGCATGATATAGATACACAGATATATTTCTACTTAAACTTTTCCACAGTGGAAGTAAAAGAAAGATGAAAGGATCAAAAGAGCTGTTATTGATTTATTTACCTAGAATAAAGCCAGGAGGCATAGCACATCAACATTACCACCACTATACTCTAGGGGCTAGGTCTCAGCCATTTGACAAAACTGATTTTGAATTTTTTTAAATAGATGTGAGAATAACTTATCAAATACCAATAGAACCAGAGGTTAGAGCTGACATAAACAACCAAACCACCAGAACAATGCAAAATCCTAGTTTTATGCATTAGTTGCAACTTTCCTTCTATTAAAAGTAATTCAAGAACTGTTAATACATGACCAAATGCAAAAACAAATGAACTAGTTCGAGATCATCTTCTCTCATTACTGGTAAAGATGCTAACAGGTAGGCAAGAGAAAACTATCTGAATAATTGACAAAATGAGCAAGCCACAAAGAAATAATCAGTTCGTGGCTATATCAAGAGCTCAGCAACAGAGACAATGTTTTACATTTGGCAGGGGTGCAGCAGTAGAGATGAGTGAAGAGACTGGTTTCATTGATTGATTGGTTGGTTGTATGGGAATGAAGACTCAGTTCCATTTCTTACCGAAGGATACACAAAAAGCCTCCAACATCAGGGTCATCAAGAAACTTGTTTACCTCTGAATTCCTTAATGCAAACAGCTCAGGCTTAACTTTTTTTTTTTTTTTTTTAGAAATCTTTGCATGATTGAAATAGTGTTATGATAGGAAGAGAGTTTTATGATATCCTGTTGACAATGGGCAGGGAAGTCTTGAGTCAAAACAGCCCAGTGGAGGAACCGCATGCCACAGTTTTGATACCTAGAGCCTATGATTCCCATTAGAAGACAGGCTCCACCTCACCTCAGGCGCTCCAGAAGTGGATGGCACTGGCGTTCTTTGTAGAGTTTGAATTCTGCTCTCCTTAACTTAAAAATTAAGCACAAGTTCTGTGTGACTAGCCCTGCTCTTTTCCTCTTCTATCTCTTTCCTTCTTGCTTATCTTTCTCACACTCCCTTTCTCTTTCATTGCCTTGGAAATTGGTCTTGGTCTGGGCAGGGAATATATCTGGTACCTGAACACTAGAATGCAACCTCCTTGGAGGCTAAGACTGCATAAAGAGAACACAGAGATGGTGCTCCAAAAAGCACTTAAAAATTGAAGAGTAAAACCATGACAACCCCAAAATCCAATACTGAGAAATTAATTGCATCTGAGGAAAAGTAGCTCCTGCCACAGGGTGGGTCAGGCTGAAAACATTTGCTTATGAGCAACTGTCTTGTTAAATAACAACTGTAGTCTTTGATACCCAGAACACAGTACAAATGTTTTATGTTTCTGGATTCTTTAAACATCTTAGCACTTTAATTAAGCAGAACCTAGCAAAATGGAACACTACCACCACCACCACCTAAAAAATATTTGAAACTTTTTTTGAAGTTCCAGTTTTATGAGAAAGATTTAAACTTTAAGTGATACATGGAGAGCACAGACATAATAAATAAAATATATTATGTAATCAATAAAAATGTCTAAGCATGAAGTAAAAATACAATTAATAAATGCTGTCTCCTAAGACAGTATATGTTCAGGACAATCTCTTGAATCTTCTACAGTAAAAGTAAATGATGCTGAATGCATAACGATCACTCATATTCTGAATCTCAATCCTACAGCAGAACAGAGCCATGATAATAGGAAAAATACTGTTATTTTCTCTGTTTTTACGAAAGCGAGAAAAACTGCTACTGCCCTTCAAAAACATTTTCAACAGGAGAGAACACTCTCTTTTTTTTTTTTTTATTTGCATTCCAGATAACTGAATTTCTTTTTTCATCTGCCAAAGAATGTCAGTGCTCTGATCCTTCTAAGAAATCTGGGAGTAGAAGCCTGGAATTATTTATGATTTATGCCCACTGCCATAAAGAATTTGAGGCCTGGGATTCAAAGAATTGATATGACCAATATGCTAGAGTCTGCCCTTGACTTTCTGACCAAAGACCTGTGTGTCATTTACCCCGTGAAACAAAAGACGAAGTGTCATAGAGTGACAGAGTTATAAGGAACCATTTCTACTGGAAACTGTTGATAATTTTATACAAAACTAATTTCCAAGGAAGTAAAATAACCTGTCCAAAGCCAAAGGGCTCATTAGTAACAGAAATGAGAGTAGAACCAAGTCCCCTGACTTCACATCTTTTCCCATTGATCCATACAGTCCTCCCTCTGTGCAGGAGCCGTTAGAAGGATATCGCTATGAGGGTGAGAACATTTTCTCAAGTCTATGAATGCTTGAATATGCCCAGAGAGTACAAACTAGTAAGTTTAATTTTCTTTCAAATACCATATTCTATCTGATACTTAGACTAACTCCAGGGGCACCCCAAATGACTCACAAGCAAGCCATCATGTAGCCACCACCATGATCCTCCTTTCCCTGCTACTGTCCCTGGCAAAGCCACTGGTTAAATGGCATCCAGGGAACCCCTGCCTTTTGCTAGACACTATTAGGCTACCAGTCTGCCCTTTCTTGATGGTGTGGGGATGTGGGTGTTGGGAGGTACCGTCTGACTCACAGGCTATGAGCCAAAGCTGGTGACATTAACAGTTCTCAGACCATTAAGCTTGGGTGTGGTTGCATTAAAGAGAAGGAGGTGTAACAGGCTGTCAAACTAAAATGGGTCTGAAGCATGTATTGGGAGATAGAATATGGCTCCATGGGCTCAGAGTACTAGAACAAAAAATGCCATTGGAAGGCAGTCTGGGTAAAATGAAAAATTTTTTCATGTGTATTTTTTCTGATGAATAGAATCCACGTTTAGGGCCTAGGGAAGGCATGAACAGAAATACGTCCTGTTGCCTCTTCTCTTCTGGCAAAGCTGTAGCTCCTTTTGTGGGGCATTCCAAGAGCCATCTTAAGGGGGCCAAGCATCTTTCTCCCTCACTTGGGCCATTGCTATTCCAGTATCTAATAAAGGAGGAACTTTGGCTCTGGGAAAACAAAAGCAAATTTCAAGCAGGAGTAAGAAACTCAAATTTATTTATGGGTAGTGATGTGCCAGTAAAAGTCTAACTATCAACTCTCCAGGAAGAAATGTATACACAAATATGTGCATTGATTTACTATAAGTGTTACTAGCATAAAGGATATAAGGACATAATTTATAAGTATAATAAAATACACAAAACTCTATATTGTAAATTCTATATAGTAAATTTATTTCTTATGGATGCTTTCCTTGATTTTTATCTAACTCTTGTCCTTAGTCAACCTATTTTGGCAGTTAACAAACAAGTATAATTCCTGTGCAAATTGTTGGTTAATATATTCACATATTAAGGAAAAACAAACAAAAAGACTTATGTGAGTACAATGTTTGCTCATTGATGACATGAGCAACTTCTTTGCTGAATTAGATAATGCTTTAATAGTTGTTAAATACTAGAAGAATCTTCTGTCAATTTTTAGGCTATTCATATATAATAACTACAGGCACAACACACGTTTAAATTTAGTATGCATTACTAACATTTTGTCCACTTTCTTGTCTGGATCATAAATGAAATGATAAGTCTACGCCCTGATTTGTAGTCAGTTTCTGTGATGTAAATACTCCCATCATGTTGACTTCAAACAACCCATGTGATGTCACTGACCATGGAGATGTAATGGGATACACAGTGGTCCACCATTATACAGTATGTCCACCAAACAGGTAGGAGAGATGTAACTAACCTCAAAAATGTAGATCCATAATCAAATGTAACAAAATAATTAGGAAGCAATGATGAGTGTGGGGCATTTCTTGTCCTGGTTTTTAAGATAACTTATATAACTGAAAGTTTATGTAATTTAATTTGAATATCAGCTGTGTTTGACAACTGGCTCACAAAATTCCTGAAAACTTAACAATCAGCTCTCATAAGCTAGTGTGCCCTGGTTCCAGCACTCCATGAAGTGGGGAAGGACAGGCTTTGAAAATGAAGTATCAGGAAAAAGATGACTAGTTTATAAGATATATGTTCATATTAAGTTATAAAGCTTTGTAAAACCATTTGTTTAAAAAATGAGTTTCCAAAATCTTGTCCCGTCAGTAGATCTGGCATTTCTGTCCAAGGGTTAGAGTTTCTCCACTTTCCCCACAGCAGGGTTAGAGTTTCTCCACTTTCCCCACAGCCTTTGAGCACCTCCTCCAGCTCTCCCGCAGCCACCCACTGCACAGAGGGATGCATTTAACACACCTCATGAGAGCTTCACCTTGTCCTATCCAAAATAATTCTTTCCGGAGCCAATTTTTTAGTGTAATTTATTCCAAACCTTTGATGGGGAAACTTGTACTCTTGAAGCCGTTCAGATGTGCAGCCAGCAGGGAGCTCCTGGGCCACATTGGCTTCTCCAGCCACAGATGTTGCGGCCAAGCCTGACGCCCAGGGACACCATGTGGATTTATAACATTCCTTGAGGGAGAGTGGACCCATAGCCTGTAAATGAATGCATTATGTTTATCCGCGTTCTTGTTTTTCATCTGTGACAGGTATTTTATGGATTGGAGGCTTCATTTAAATGTTGCATAATCCCCCTTTAATAATGTGAATATTCAATATAATTGAAATAAGAAAGACTGCTTTTGTTTCAGCATAACTGATTCAAAAATAAAAGGACTCACTATGGCTAGAAGTTGATCATCAAAAATATCAGTTACATTGGGAGTTATGATCAAATGTGTATCACAGTTTAATCGTAATGAAAGAAGAATAAATGATGCAAGAATTTTTGCCTTTTTATATGGTTATCTTGAACTCCTCAGAGATAAGAAGCTAGAGAATGTACCATTTGGTCAAATTACCAATTTGGCTTAGTTCAAAGCAAAGCCAAGATGAATCAATAAAAGATGTTAAGTTAACACTTTCGAGAGAAATTAAGTTGCATTACCCTGTAGTACAAGGTACAATTGAAACTGCTATCCATATTATCAAGTAGAGCTCTTGCTTAGGCAGCTTGAATGCGTGGGAGAGTGTGTGAAAAAGGGAATCTGTGACTAAGTCTTAAGGAGTTTGTACCTGTAACATTTATCACAATGCCTGACATGTAGTAAACACTCTAAAGGAGTTACTAGAATGAAGGAATTAATAAATGTCTTAATGGTTCAAGAAAATGTATTAACAATATTTGTAAAGCTCCTTCTGTTATATAGACTAAACATAATTAGTAATGCCATCTATAAAATTAATTTATTTAAATAAATATTTCTCTATTAATACCATTAAAATTTAGGCATTTACCTAAATTATCATCCTTTGGATTATGGGAGTCAATAATTAAGAAATTATAAGGCTGGGCACTGTGGCTCACGCCTGTAATCCTAGCACTTTGGGAAGCCAAGGCGGGCAGATCACCTGAGGTTGGGAGTTCAAGACCAGCGTGACCAACATGGAGAAACCTCATCTCTATTAAAAATACAAAATTAGCTGGGCATGTGGTGGTACATGCCTGTAATCCCAGCTACTTGGGAGGCTAAGGCAGGAGAATAGCTTGAACCTGAGAGGTGGAGGTTATGGTGAGCCAAGATCACACCATTGCACTCCAACCTAGGAAACAAGAGCAACGCTCTGTCTCAAAAAAAAAAAAAGTTATACTGCTCTTCTGTTGTTTTTTTTCCGGCCCAGGATCCATTTCCCTTTCTACCACTAATAGCACTCTTATTTTCCCTTGAGAAACCATGTGTCCGCTTCTCACAGTCCATGAAGACATTTTGAAGCTGACTGCAACCCTGTCCAGAAGTGGGCATATGGTCTAGGCCGGGCCAGCAGGGCTGCCCACAGTGACTGATTTAGGGATGAGCTTATGACCTATTACAGATCAATAAAATAAACTCCAAAGACCCTTCCTAGAACTATTATGAGAGAGATGCTCTCTTTCTGCTAGTATGCTAATCTGGTAGGATGTAGGCCTGGTGTTGATGGCTGTCACATTTAAGCCTAGGAAAAAAGCAGGACCAGGACTAAGGCCAGAGCAGGAGAATGCAGAGCTGAGAGATAAGGGAAGACAGACTCCAGATGGATGACATTATCTGCATATCTTCGCAGTGACAAAAGGCTGCTCTACCCTTGGAGTTTTCCATTACAGAAGCATGTAATTTAGCGGGGTTTCTGTCATTAGTAATCAAATGAGTCTATTCCATAAGTTTGTTCTCTGTATATTTTCATAGTATGTTCTCCTTGGTTATATTTTAAATCCCAATAAAAGTACATAGGTTTCTTCTGCTGACAAAACATGAAATTTTAAATTCTGCTAATCATTTCAAGCATTTAAATTATGGACTTCAGTAATTGAGAACTTATTATATAAATTAAGCCAAGAACTTTTTTGTTCTTTTTTCTAGGAAAAAAAGAATATTTGTGTATTTTGATCACTTACAAAAACTAAGACACTACCTTGCTTTCAGAAAACAACTCAAATGTTGAGACACTATGATTTGAAAAGTCCTTTCTCTATACAGGACCTTGTGCACCGGCTTAGTCATACCATCACTGCCAAGGGATGAGGGATTCACGGTACCCAGAAGTAAGTAAGCCATTAGGGTGACAAGAAGTACACAGAACCACAAAATGACAATCAGGGTGCTCTTCTTCTAGAATGCGGGAAATGCCTCACAAAGCTCTTGTCTTCAGAGAGGAACTAGGAACTTTTAAAGATTCTGAAACAATTTCTTACCAACCCAAATACAGTCTTATGAAATCAAAAAGGAGGAGGAGAAGGAGCCCTGATCTTGCTGTAAGGTCCGCTTCTGATCTTAACCACCTCTGTGACCCACCGTGTTATTTTTGGTCTCTCCATCTAGAAAATGGGGACCATACTCTCTTCTTCATGAGAATCAGTGGAGATAGTCAATTTTAAGTACACTAGAGTTTGTGAATGAGCGTCAACTACATTTTCATCAATGTATTATTAATATTGTTATGCTTTTTGACAGAGTTCCCATTCTTAAAAGAAGCTCTGGTAAGGTAAGTATTTAGTATACAGGAGATTTTATTCACGAGTCTTCTGTTTATACACCTGAGACAGACTTATACAAGGCTAAGTACCTGTAATAAGAGGATAAACAGCATGGGTGCTCCTCTGCTTTTGAACTGTGCTCAACTTTGGCTTGGCATAGTTAACCTTGCTTTTCTGTGCAAGCAGGATGCTAAGCACTATCAGTTACAAAGGTGTGTGTAGGACAGTCTCTAATTTCTAGGAATATACAGACCAGCTGTGGAGCAGATATATCTCATACCAAGCACAGTGTGGGTGCTAGCACTGATGGGCATGCAGAGGACTATCTCAGTGGCACATAAAACGTGGTTCAATCTAGTTAGCCTTCATCAAAAAGGGCATTTCAGTAGAATTTCAAAAATAGCATGGTTTTTAACAGATGCTGTGAAAGATCCCTCACAAGGGAAAGGAAAAGTGTATAGCAAGGCACTGAGCTGTGGACATGCATAAGGGAATCACAAAAAGGTGGAGTTGGAGAATAAACTATGAATGAAGGCTTTGTCAGATTGGGACAAAACCAAGCTAAGAATTTGGACTTCATTCCATAGGCAATGAGGAGTTATTACAGATTTTTAAATAAATGAGCAATAAAAACCAAGATAAAATTTAAGAAGAAAACTCAAGCATCAGTGTGAAGAATTTTTTGAATAAGAGAAATTATGTTGGCAGGGAAAAGAAGGAAGGAGTTGCTATGATTTATCTGGGCAAGGAAATGTTAGAACCTGATTATGAAAGAGCCAGTGGGCATAAAAATGAAGAAAGATATTTTACAGACTTCTGCATATAGAATACAAATACTGGTTGATAAATAATTAGATATGGGAAATAAAGAGAGGCACCAATATTTTTTGATAGCATGACTGGGAAGTTGGTAATAGCATTATTGAGGTAGAGAATTTAAGTAGAGGTATATGTTTGAAAATGAAGGCACATTTTGTACTTTTAGAGTTTGAGGTACTGTGACACTGTGTAAGACACGTTAGAAGCCAACTGGAAATGAAGATGTCAAGTCAGAAAGAAGATTAAAGCTGGAGATTTAGAAATCATTAGATTTCCCAGAGAGAAATTGTAGTCAGGCATATAAAATTACCTGAGAAAAGATGCAAAAGTAATTCAAAAAGCAGAGTTCAAAACCAAAAGAGTCCAGAGTCATTGAAGTGAAGAAATGGAGGATTTTAAGGAAGATGTGGTCCCCACCTAACAGGCTGCAGAAAGAGCAAGAGAGAAGGAAGATGAAGAGCATTTGCCAACTAAAAGCTAAATCTGCCCATTTGACTTTAACCAAAAGCTTCCAATTTTTAAGAAATCACATTGCATATATAAATATTTTCGAGAGCTTTTTTTTGTTTTGTCCCCAGGACTAAGGCCAATAACACACTAGTTGTAAAACTAGATATTATAGAAATCTGGTACCACAAGAATTATTATTTACCTTTCTTAAATCCCAACTTCTCTCTCTAATATTATTTTTCCAGTTTTTCTCTCCCCAAATTGCTCTTTTTTTTCCAACAAAAAGTGACATTTGGGATTCAGATGATTTTTGGTTTTTTTTTTTAGTCTTTCCCTTTTAGGTATTTTTCTATTTTTAACCTGGGTGCAGTGGCTCACACCTATAATCCGAGCACTTGGGAGGCCAAAGCAGTTGGATCGATTGAGCTTAGGAGTTTGAGACCAGCCTGAGCAACATAAAGAAAACGGTTTCTACAAAAAAATCTAAAAATTAGCCAGGCGTGGTGGTGTGCACCTGTGGTCCCAGCTACTCAGGAGGTTGAGGTGGGAGGATTGCTTGAGCCCGGGAGGATAAGGCTGTAGTGAGTTGAGATCACGCCACTGTACTCCAGCCTGGGCAACAGAGTGAGACTCAGATAGATAGATAGAGAGAGAGAGAGAGAGAGAGAGAGAGAGAGATAGATGATAGATATGATACATATATATATCAGGCTGCAGATACATATATATGTATATATATATATATATATATACACTTTGTTTACAGAGCACTTATCTACAAATTATAATTTTAAATAGCTCTTATTTGAGAAAATTATAATTACTTAGATAATAAGAGAGAATTCAAAATTACTTTAGAAAACAAAACAAAAATAAGCCTTCAATTTCTCCCTCTTCTGGAAGCTCAGCAATGGGAGGAAATCTATGGAGAGGAAAATGACAATTCTTTGTTGGATAGATGCTTCTTACTTTGATAGAAAAATGTTGCAGGCCACCAAAATGGCTTGGCTGAAAACATCCTCATGGTGGTCCACACAAGCCTTCTGGAGGAGCAAGAGGATGAGGTCCTGGTGTCATGAACTATCCTTTTGGATCCACCAGCATCACAGGAGGTTGCATTGGAGTTAGAGGTGGAAGAACAAGGGCCTGGACACCAAGATGAGATTCTGATAAGAGAGAAAGAAAGAGGTTTCTTCGATGACAGGTGACCTTTTGCAGAGGACCCTGCTGGGTTATTCTCAGCTGGGTGCTCTAATGCGAGAAGCCACCAGTGATTTCACGGCTTGATTTTTGCCCTAGTGACTCTACATTTCCAGAAATGTCAGCCCTCAATCTGCCTGGAGCTAATTATTTAGATTTATTTGTCTAGATTTGTTGTTTTTTGTTTTAGCATAAAATCTATTCCACTCAGAAGAATTGGTTAAATGGAATTAACTTTTACCAGTCACCTCTCTTCAAGCTGTTTCTGATCACTCATTATTAAGGCTGACATCTTTTAAGGGTGACTTGAAATCACTAAATGTTCATCTAAGTTTAAACATCTCAAGAATTTTACATTTTCTTTCAAATACGTTAGAAAGTGCATAGCAAGGTGTTTCCCTTTTCTCACAGTTAATATTTGAGTAAAAACTTTTGCCCCCTCCAAAAAAAATTACCCCAAATCCAAGGATTGCTGCCCATGCCATCATTTCCCAAAGAAATATGCAATAATGAGGTCCCTGGATTCAGGTTTTCTGCTGTCACAATCTCATACAAGGAGAAGCCTGAACAAATCTAAAGCAGCACACAGCCTCTCTGTGGCTACGATGACTAACACAGAGCTGCTTCTGGTTGCCAGTGTCCTAGGAGTCACAACAAACAAGTAGGACACTCTACATAATTCAACCTCATTCCCAAACTGCTCCCAGTAAATGGGAAAACACATCAGTTAAGCTGATCAATGGCAAAAGAGAGGCACATCCAAGGCAGAGCTGTTCAGTGTTTTCTTTCACTCCCTCCTCCTTCCCTCTTTTCCTCCTTCCTCTCTTCCTTCCCCTCTCTCTTTTTCTGTCTATCTTTCTCTCTCTCCCCCACTCCTCGCTTTATTAAGGAACAGACATACAATAAACTGCCCATATTTAAATCATACAATTTGACAAGCTTTTGACATATTTATATAGGTATAAGCCCAACATCACAATCAAAATAACAGACATTTCCATCACCCCAAATTGTTTCCTTGTGGCCTTTTGTAATTCATTTCTCCCCACTCCCAGTCTGCAGACAACAACTAATCTGTTTTCTGCCACTATAGATTTGTTTACATTTTCTAGAATTTTATATGAATGAAATCACAGAGTATCCAATGCTTTTTGTCTAGCTTCTTCAGCCTAAGAATTTTGAGATTCATCCATGTTATTCTGTGTATCAATACTTCATTTTATAGTAGTATTCTAGTATCTGTATATACCACAATTGTCTTAACTATTTGCCTATTAATGAGCCCAGTTCTACAAATAAAGCTTCTATAAACATGCATACAAGTATTTGTGTGAAATATGCTTTTCTTTCTCTTGGGTAAATACCTGGGAGTAGAATGTCTATGTTATATGGTAGGTAGATGTTTGACATTTTAAGAAAGTGTCACATTTTTTGTTAGAATTGGCATTATTTCTTCCTTAAATGTTTGGTAAGAATTACAAGTAAAATCATCTGGACCTAGGGTTTTCTATACTACAAAAATTTTAACTACAAATGTAATATCTTTAAAAATATAAGATTACTTAATGTTGTCCCAACGTTAATTAATACTGTTTGGGGTTTTTTTCTTTTACTTTTTTCTTTATTTTGTTTTCCTTATTGTTTTTTCAGTCTTTTTTCTTTCTGATTTGAGATAGTTTCTATGGCTATGCCTTCAAAATCATGAACCTTTTCTTCTGCAGTGTCTAATCTACTATTCATACCATCTGATATATTTTTCATCTGAAGCATCAATTTATCATATCTAGAAGTGTGATTTTGATCTTTTTAAATATCTTCCATGTCTTTCCTTATCATGTTCTTGCTTTACTCTATTTTCCTGAACATAAGAAGTATAATAGCTCATTTAACATCCTTATCTACTAAATTTATAATTCATGTCATTTCTGTGTCTGTGTGTTGATTGATTCTTCTCCTCACTATATTATGTGTTTTCCTCCTTCTTTGCTTGCCTGGGAATCTTTTATTAGATACCAGACATTGTGAATTTTGGGTCATGGGGTAATACATTTCTTTTGTTATTATGTTTCTTTAAATATTCTTGAACATTCTTCTGAGAAGGGTAAATTACATAAAAACAGGTTTGTTAGGCAGATCTAGAACCACATTTAGTGTAGAGCTTGACTGCGCTACTAAGGAAATGCCTTTCTGAGACCTCTACTCAATGCCCTACGTGTTAAGAGGTCTTTCCACCTTGAATTTTGGTGAGAAGATGAACTATTCCTGGCTTTGTGTGAGCTCCAGTGAGCTGCTTCCAACTGATTCCTTCCCCAGGCACAGAACTTTCCTTATATACATGCGCTGATCAGTAATTAGGTAAAGACCTGGAGTACCCTCTGCATCTCTCCAGAGCATTTTCTCTGTTGCTCTTTCCTGTCTGTATTCTGACCTGTGAATTCTAGCCAACTTGGTCTCTTCAAGCTACAAACTCTCTCTCCTCAACTCAGGGAGGATAGCACCGAAGCCTGAAAACATTGACCAGGCATCAAGCTGGGCCCGTCGTAGAGCTCACCTAATTTGTTTCCCTTCTGTTACACATGACGGTCCTGTACTATCTATTTTTAAATAACATGATTTTTCCACATATTTTTGTCCTTTTGCTAAAGTTGTTTAAGGCAGAGGGCAAACCCAGTACTTGTTACTCCATCATAGCTCATTGCAAATAGCTGATTCAGGGGATATAATGCCAGGTTCTGAAATCTGAATTATCATTTCTAAGGGTTAATGTTTAATAGTTGCTACAAATTTCTCAGTCCAACCCAGAGTCATGTATGTGGACTAAGTGAATTCCTTATATAATCCCTATTTTCATTCCCATAAATTATGGTTCTAAGTATTATTGTGTTTTATGCCACATTTTCAGATCAAAGCTCAATGAACTATTGCTATTTTCTCTCTAGCTGTGTGCATGTGTGCATGTTTGGGAGGTGTTCCTGTAAACACACTGCATATATATTTTGTATCCAGCTGTGTGCCTGGACTTAGGCTTAAAAGAAAACTTATGAGTACACTTTGTTTAATGCCCATAAACAGGAAATAACTACTTGTTAATTCATTAATTAGAATCCTATTTATGGAAGTATTGTAAAGGATAATCCTTGGTTTGTGTAAGTGAGGTCCTGCCGTCAGTATGGAAAAAATATGGAGTGAGGTCCTGCTAAGAAACCACCTGGGAACTTCACTGCACAGCCAGACAGTCTCTCAAGAGCCCTCTGCACTACCCATATCTAAAGATTGGGTGTTACTCTCAAAGGCATTAGCTCCTAGCTGGACTAGAGCCTTGTATGAGAGTCAGTGGACTGTTGACCTGCCCCCTTCCTTTGACTCTGTTCCTAGAGCTGCCTTGGCTGCCTGCCCAGACCCTTGACAGCTGCTCGAGTTTGAGCCCACCTTGTTTCTCATGCCTGACTGAACCCAAGACCATTCACCTTTTCTTGACTTTTGGTATAAACTTTCTAGCCTCCTGTCTGCCTGTCCACCTGGCCATTGCTTGGCCTGATGCCCAGCATATACTAAAAGCAAAAGGCAGGATATAGGAATCTACTTGTTTCCTCTGAACTACACAAAGTCAGCCAGCAGGCAAGAGAGATGAATATGGTGCATATTTATAAAGTTAAATGAACCAATGACACAGCTACAATATTAATGCAATTGAACAGAACATTTCTTAAGCCAAGCACTATGCAGAGGTCTGTAAGACAAGCTGAATAAGTTATTACATTAGCCTTGATGATGAGCCCTCACCCTATAGTGTGGGAGACAGGCAAGAAAACAGATTGTAACATACCACTGAGGGGACCATAGCTTCTCTGTGCCTTCCTCCTTTCTAATTCATTACATATATATACATATACATATATACACATACATATACACACACACATATATATATGTTTGTACAACAGACTACTTGACACCACCAACACCTTGCCCAGACTGACGTCTACCAGCAGTTTATATGCCTGTGTTTCTAACTAAATTGGAAATTCCCAAAGAATATGGGTCATGTCTTACTCCCTCTCTTGTCACTCTCAGTGACTAATATAGATTTTCCTTGAATTGAAATATATGCAATGCATATATATAAGGGTCTACTACAAAGTAATAAATCCATCATACAAGCAACACATAATAAACTAAAGCATACTTCTTGATAAATAGTAATGATCTTGACTTAAGAAAATATAGATTGTTACAGTTCACACTGGGAAGTGTTACAAAGACTAACAAAGTAAACACATTAAAGGTTTTCATTGTTCACCTTCCGGCAAGGTGCATCTTTAATATATGTGTGTGACCAGGTTACATCCACATATAAGCAACCCTGGCACTGCCAGCACCACACATTTGGGTGACTGACAAGATGGCAAGTAGAATTCATATTTTCAAACAAGAAAAATCCTAGCTCCTGCCACTGCTACCATTTTCTGGTTCCTTGGCCATGACTTCAGCTACCATACCTCTATCTTTGCCTGGAGGAGAGAGGATAACTCCAGATAGTTTTGTGCCTAGGCAGTGGTAGCAACGGTTTAGCAAGCAGTCAAGGAAAGGCAGGATGGGGCGGGGGATGGTGGTGGTAAGGCCAACTTTGGTTAGTACTCTTCCAAGTGACAAAAAGCCAGACTCACACTGCTAGAGCAGTCAATAAATAATAAAGGGAAAATGTTCATGCTTCAGGCACAGTGAGACTCAGGGGGCTCAAACAATGTCATCAGAACCCTGTCCCTCCATCACATGGCTCTACTGTCCTCCACATTGGTTTCATTCTCAGCCTTCATTCAGCTCATTGAACAATTCTCCCTTTGGTGGAAGCTGAATGCATATTTTCCAAAAACTTCTTAACATGGCATTTGATAATGAATAAAGGATAAATGAAATTGTTTAACCACTCTTTGCTTTAGTAGGCTGCAATGTCAATCTCATTGAC